AGAGAGAGAGAATTAAAAAAAAAAAAAAAAAAAAAAAGAAGAATCGCAAAAAAAAAAAAATTACAAAGGACACATTTACACTGACACGCACATTACATACATACGTACACACATACAGTTGCATCTACGCGTGCACACGAGGTTGACGAGTTTGACACGGCAGGTGCGCGTTCGCAGATATACCGATAAAAATTATAATATACAGCTCCGGGATTTCTCGAGATCTCCGTCAAACGAGCCTAAATAGCGATTCAGCGTCAGCTGTTGTGTTCTCAAAGAGGAAACACACACAAAGCGAGTGAGTGAGAAGAAGCACAAGAAGCACGTCTCTCTCAAAAAACAAAACAAAACCAAAAAAAAAAAAAAAAACAAACAAACAAACAAAAAAAAAAGAACAAAAATCAATCATTTACCATTGCGTTGTGTAAAACGAAATATAAAAAAAAAAAAAGCGATCTGCTGTCAATGTGCGTCACACACACACGAGAAAAAAAAAACAAAAAGAAAACAAAAAACGCTGAAACGTTATTGATGAGAAAAACTTGATGTTTGGCAATGATTGAAATATTCTCACTGTTTTATATTAAATAAATTTTTGAGATATACTTGTACCAAAAAAAAAAAACCATCAACCTTTTCTTCTTGTATATCCGCCTCTTTTGCGTTCTTACCCTCCCCCTTTTTTATCTCTTTATTTCGTTTTCAACTGCCGCGCGAACGTCGCGCGCGCGCGCGCGGTCGTCTTTTCCGCGTCGCCCCGAGTTCTCTCGATCGCGAGAGAACTTTCTTGATTGTCAGAAGAGTTCAATTCTGAACCTGATTATATATAATAAGAACCTGAGGAAAACAGGGAATCGCGAAGGTAAGAGCCGCGACGGTGCATCTGCGAATCCCTGCCGTGCGCGTGAAATTTCGGGAATTTTCGTCGCCACCTGCGCGCGCGTAATTTTCATCGGATGCGTCCCGGAAAAAAAAGAAACATCGACATGTATCATATAATATAAAATATTGAAAAAAACACTACACATTAGACACACACGCACGCACACACGTACACGTACACGTGAATACCGCTACCAATTTATTACTACTATTACTACTACCGCTATTATTATTATTATTATTATAATACCATAATTGGTTGCTTGTCAAATTCGTCTGACGCCAAGCAGCGGCCCGAAACTACTATGTAACGATTTTTATTGATAACAAAGGAAGGAATAAAAACATTGAAGTAATGATTGTAATAAAAAAAAAAAAAAAAGAAAAAAAAACGAAAACGAAGACGCAGTGAACTTCTGGGCGTTTCGTGTTTCGATCTCACACAACTCTTTCCGCGATTTTTCGGTGGGGGGAAGGTCGATCGATGATAACGCACAAAACACGAACGCCGCGGTGTTGTTCTTTTCCTCTCAGCCGTTTCTTCGGTTCATTGTTTATCGCTCGTTTGCGCGCGCTCACAGGTTGTTTACTTCGACGAACTGTTTCACGGAAAGTTAACGCTTCGACGATGATTGACAATTGTGAGATTTTCTCACTGTAATATTCTTGCAATATTCTATATAAGAAAGCGTCCACTGTCGCGTATAAAATAAAAGTTAAAAATATTTCGAAAAAATATGACAAAAAACTTGTAGATGCGATTGGACCTTGGTGAAAAAAAAAATTAATAAAGTGCATTTGTCTTGTTCTCGTTTCTCTTTTTGCGCGCAAGATCGAAGCTCTCGCGTTCTCATCGGTCGAGAGGAAAGGACGTAGGTGGAAATCGCGGAAAAAAAATAGAGAAAAAAGGAAAAAAAAAACAAAAGAGGGCTACGTGCGCGCCGGACGCAAACTATAGATGTAAACTTTTTGTAAAGGCGAAATATATGTGTGTATATATATATATATATATATATACATATATATATATATACTTCCTCTTTAAGATTCTTTTGCATATACGATGAGAAAATTACGCGACCGAACACAGAGCGAAATTGTTTTAAGAGAGTAATAAATTTGTATAAAGTGGTGTAAAAAAAAGAAAAAAAAAAAAAAAGAAACCGAAATCGATTCTGAGAGGTGTTTGCGTCTAACGCTAAATGTGCGAGCGTTTTCAGCGTTTTTTCGCTCGAATGCGAAATTGCGAGCCACGACCGCGCACGGCAAAAGGAGGAATTGAAGCGCAATCAAGGTAAGTGCACTTCATATTTCTTTTCGACGAGGAGGAGGAGAAGAAGCTTTTCGCGACGTAGAAAATATTCTATTACGCAATATACGTTGCGCGCGCAAGTTAGAAAACGTCCTATAAAATTTATAGGAAGCTGCGATATGAAATAAAAAGGTACGCGCATCGAATAGGGAAAAATACACTTTTACGAAATATTTCAAAGTTGAGAAGAGAACTTAGAATTATAGAATTACATTGAAGAGATTACGTCGCAAAAAAATTATAGCTTAAATATAATTTAATATAAACATTTATAAGAGGACATTTTTTTTTTTCACGAAAAGCAACAAGTGCGAGAAATTCGTCAAATGTTCTCTCAAATTTGTAAAAAGAAAAAAACAATAAACGTGTGTAAGTCTACTGTGTTATTAATATAATATACTTTATCGAGAGAGACACGGAAATTGCGGCGAGCAATTTCCGCGAAGGACCGCCGCCGCATTTCCGTGCGAAACAACGGCTTGAGACCGAAAAGTTCGAATATTTACACTGTTTACTTTTTCGTCGTAATGCCGCTTTAAAAAAATGGCAAACTAATAATCGTGCAATTAAAAACAAATTTCGCTTCAGAGAGGACAAGAGGAATTAACTTAACGAGAAATTTCGTCCGTAAGCATCGAAATGAAAAATTATATCGGATGGAAAAATTCAAGATGTTGTTTCCGAGAACGGTTTAAATACGATTCCTCCGATAAAAAGCTACAAAACATTTCGCAATGATTTTTAAACGGGAACGGATTAAAGTCAAATCGAAAACCATTTGGGTCAAATCGCGGGGCGCAATCGATGACGTTGATCTCGTTTCACACCCGCTTGCTCGTGCGACATCGTGCGATGCATCGATCTGGAGGGGAACGAAAAAAAAAAAGAACTCGTATGTCTTCACGAGATATCGCGTATCAGAGCAGATGTCAACCACGACCGTCGTGTTTTGAGATATATACTTTAATCGTGGTCGATTCTCGCTCGGTTCTGTACATATCCGCGCGATTTGATAAGAGGCGGATTTCCGACAATAATTTGAAAAAAAAACTTTTCTCTCGCGCCGTCGCAAATGACGCACAAAAATGAAATCTGATCGTATAATAAATTTATTTTAACAACAATGTGTGTGCGTGCGTGCGTGTGTGTGTGTGCGTGCGTCTCTCGATTCGAGCGGAGTGTGCAAATAAATTTTATACACAGGTTTAGTCTAAAAATGTCGATATATTTATATGTCCCTCCCCCGTTGCGAGGGGGTAGATAGACGTGTGTGTGATAGTTCCATAATAACTTCGGCTTACAAATTCATCATCGAGGGAGGGGGGGCAAGGGCGGGGGGCAGTATTCGTTCGGTGTTGGCGCCTATATGTGCCCCATCGGATGCTCTCGATCTTCGCCGGATCTCGATTGTAGTCGATTATATAGTTTTTTGCGAATCTTCGTCCGGTGAAATTTGCGCGCGCTAGATCCGGGATCTACGAGCGGGGAGCGCGCGTTTCGCTCGTTCACCTGTCGTAAAAAAAAAAAAAAACGAACATTTTCCAAAAAGTTTCATCAGTTCTCTGAGTTCGCGACGAAGAAGAAGAGCGTCCGATCGGACACACACACATCGACGCGGCGCGCGACGTCGTGGTTGAACAACATTTTGTTTAGCAGATATATGCGCGTCGTGTGTCAATTTTAACGCCGAGAGAGTTACATCGTAAGTCCTAAGTAATTGTAGGCGAGATTAAGTTACGAAGAGAGCACGTATATAATACAATATATTATATATATTTATAGATTTATATATATATTTATATATATATATATATATATATGTATATTTGTTTTTCCTTATTCGCGGTGTCTGCATATGTATGGTGTGGAGAATCTCAAAAATTTATATATATAACATAACGAGGACGCGCGAACGGTCTCCCCAAATCGCATCGTGCACGCACACACGCATCTGTTTATTTATTTATTTATTTTTTTTTTTGTATATAATCTTCTTCCGAGCAATGTGCAATTTTCTTCAGGTTTTTGTCTCGATGTTTTTCGTTTCTCTCGTCGAGATTAAATTGCTTATAATATCTCGATGCGGTGGGAAAAACGTGCAAATTGGAGCTACCTTCGCCGGGTCGCTTTTATAACACACTGGATCAGGTGAATCCTACGATTCGCGTGCCGTCGCCATCCAAGCTTGGCGCTTCGGAGATAGATAATTTTCGAGAAAATTTGTTACTTGTTTTTTTTTTACGAAGAAGTTTTTAATCAAATCACGGGGTGTGAAAACAACTCCAAGGTTTTTGGCACACACAACCGTAGTTAAGAAATTTACATTTCTCTCGGCTTATCGAGATTTTTTATTATTGCTTTTAAGTGCGTTTTTGTCAAATCGCAGTTTAATCGAATATTAATGTCTCGATTTTCAAAAAAAAACTCTCGAGTTTTCTCTCAATTAAAAAATTTTTCGACTTAACGTTCACTTAACTTTTCCACATTCCCAAATGTGCAAAAAACAAAAAATTCGATTATTCGCGATCGATATTCGACCGCCACCGAGTTGGCACCGGCACGCGGATCTTCGCGTTTAAGGCATGCGGTTTGGTGCTTAGCTACTACTTCTATTACTCGAGCCTTGGATTTCTCTCGTGTCTTCTTCCTTCAAGAAACAACTTGAAACGGTCGGCTCTTCTCGTTTCCGTCCGATAGAAAAAAAAGAACAAAAAAAAAAAAAAAACTCCGCGCGTCCGCGGGAAAGAATCCGTTGAAATTTATCGAACAACAAAAAAACCGCGCGTCGAAGGACGAGCGGGTTTGTCTCCGGCTCTCTCGTGACACGTGACGTGAAATGACGACGAGAGAACGATCGTCTCGCGAGGGAGCTCCTTAAGTGAAAGCGACACCGACTATTTCGTGTCGAAACGTTAGTCATCGCATTATAATTCGTTGCTGTCGTCTGGCAGACGGGCGCGCGCTCTCTCTCTCTCTCTTTCGTTGGCGACATTGGCGAAGATTCGCGCCGGACTACGAAAACAGATCGTATTTTACATCACGTACGTCGTGGTAGCCCGGTCTCTCTCTCTCCGTTCCGTGTGGAGGAATCGTCTCGCAGCAGCAAACGCGCTGCGTGAGATGTTGGATCAGTGGGGCCCCTCAATATGAGACCCCGCGCCGCGTCTCTTTACGGAAACGAAGCACGCGCGATTAGCTTTACTTAAATCTCATCTAAACGCCCTCGGCACGAGAGAATAACCGGAAGATAAATAAACGCCGGAGAAAAACTCGCGAAGAATTCAGGGCGAGAAGGAGGAGATAAATCTCATTCTTGTGCTGAATCCTTCAGAAGGTATTTACAACTTGGCGGAAGATTGTAGGATATTTTTTGTTTTTCCTCTTCTGAGCGTTCTTGTTATCTGAGACGTTTGTTTTTTTTTTTTTTTTAATCACTGTCTCAGATTCGAGCCGTTTGAACGTCGAATTCAACAATTTCAAGGTGTTTTGTTTTCTTCAAATTGATAAATTTTTTTTAAAAGAGACATTTTTATTACACACCAGTTGATTGATTTTCCATCGATTCCAATCTCTTCAAATCGCGAGTCTCGCCTGACCTGCGAGACGCGGCAAGTAAAATACATCATGGGTGGAAAACACGGCGCGCGCGTGTGTATGAATTCATCGACGCGCGCCTCGCACGCGCTTATCTAGATTACCTTTAAACCTTCGTACTTATCAGTAAACGTCGACGGATGAGCGACAAAGTGTTTAGCCAACGTTTGTACCTTGCCGTGACGGGTGCTCCGTGAATGCCCATTTGTCTTTTTTTTTTTGTTTTTTTTTGTTTTTTTTTTTCGTCATTGTCCTTCGCCGATCGAGGACCTTGTCGCGCGTTTGAAACTCGACATATCTCTCGCTACTCGCGTTCCTATCGACATTTTCGAGAGATTGACCCAGAGATCTCTTGTCAAAGAAGAACGAGAGCATCTCGGGATTTAAAAAAAAAAAAAAAAAACTGAAAACAACGTCTCAATAAGAGAATTTTCCGTTCGTGAACAAAAAATGTGTCGATCGTTCTGAAAAGTAGATTACAGACGGAAAATAATAAAAAAAGAGAGAGACGTGGTTTTAATAAGACAAAAATTATATTTTCTCAAAGCGTCTCGGTTTGCTTTCAACGAGCGATCGAGAGAGACAAAAGGATACGATTCGTGAAATATTTTTTTTTTTTTGCGAAAATTGCTTTGAAAAAAAAAACAAAGCGTATCGCGAGAGCTCACGTGACGTTCACAGCGCGATTGTCAATAATGTTAAATATCCTTTTGCTCCTCTTGACAATTTTGTTTCACTGTTATTAATTATCTCGCGCGTTACTTAAACAAAGAAAACAAAATAATTTTTGCTCGAATTTTCCGACACACATTTCACAGAAAAAGATTATAAAATCACTTCTTTCGCTTCCGGATCGTCTAACGTGATTACGAAACTGATACAAATGTACAAAAAAAAAAAAAACAAACAAACAAGTTAATACACAAATTTTCTGTTTTCTTTCTTTTTTTTTTTACAAATCTCTGTGCGATTATTTTATCGTCGATAGATAGATTTTTTTTTCTTCCTCCTGTGGTTTCTCGAGCTCGACACACCACGGGACAATCTTTGGCATTCGACCGACTTCCGAACTTACGCGGGGAAGGGAGAGTCAGTCGTCGTCGTCTTTGTCAAATATCCTCGAAATAGATGAACGCGCGAAAAAACATTGACTTAAAAACTCTATTAATTATTACATGTACAATCGAATAGGTTCTCATCTCGTCTTTTAGCATCTCATCTCTCGCCGTGAATGAGAATCATCATCATCATCATTCTCATCGGCTCTCCTCTTTCTCTTTCTCTCGTTACACATTAGTCAGCTATAATCTCAGTTTAATATTATCGGTAATAATGTTTTTTTTTTTTTTTTTTTTTTTTTTATCAATAATATTATTTCTTATCAATATATATATATATATATATATATTTATATTTTATATATATACATATATATATATATTTCTCGTTAACGCGTGTGTGAAGTACGTGTGTGTGTTTGTATCCTGTGTACGTGTTTATGTCCGTAACGTGTAACCTATGCGTGTGTGTGTGTGTATAAACGTCCCATTAATAATAATAATAATAATAACGTTACAACAAGTTAATGACCCCTAATAAACTTACAATTCGTATCGGTAATAATACGCGGTATGATATTCTGTTTTTCTCTTTTTTTTCTCTCACGCGCACACGCACTCTCGCATCTACTTTTCTCTAGAATCTTTCTCTGCGATATCACACATATAATAATACAATAATAACGAGTATATTTCGAAATATATACCCGAATATTCTCTGTGTGTGTGTATGTGTGTGTGTTTGTGTGTTGGATCGTTCGTCAATTTAATCTATCGGCTTCTCTCTACGAACGCGCGCGTTTCTCTCGGTTTTACAAAACGGAGGGTTCGGAAACGTTCTCGCGAAACGAACTCGCACCGACGTGATTATTTAAAAAAAAAAAGAAAAAAAAAAATGGAATCTTTGACTCTCGTCGTATACAAACATCTCACACACGTAAAAAAATCAGAGATCGCTCAACGACAAAGCGTTCACAAAGCGGCGTATTTACGGTGCTTGCGGGTCTTCGTTTTTAGACGCGCGCGATAAAATGCGTGGCGAGAAAACCCAACGCGCAGCGTGACAAACAGCGTGACGAAAACAGCGTTGAAAAAGCGTTTTCGCGCGATTCTGTGCGCACTCCCCGAGTTTCCGATGCGACAAATAACACACGCGACCGTTACCTTTATGTTATTTTATCCGCCGCGAAAGCAGCGCGTTTCTTCGGGCAAATTTTCGAGACTGACTCCGGAACGATGCTGATGAAATGATATAATGTTTCTCTCTTCGTTAAAGGGGTCTGGAAATTGTTTATCTGAAAAACGTTTTTTTCGAAAACACAAAAACAGTTGTTCGAAAAACTGTTTTCTCTCCATCAAAAATTAGGTCAATTTTTGTCGTGCGATGCGACAACCCGAGTTTTGCGAAAGTTACACAAAACAAAAACAAAAAAAAAAAAAACGGGAAGGGGGAATATCCAATGACACGCACAGACTCACCGTTTTTTTTCTTTTTTTTTCTTTGTTTTTTTTTACGAGGGACATGAGAACTCATGTCGACCGGTCTTCTGAAAGAGAAACAGGTCGGGGAAGGTCTGTCACTTTTTTAATGCTGCCAAAATTGCGATTACAAAAGAAGTTTTTTTTTGGGGGAAAAGAGAAAACCTCATACTATTGTGTTGCGATCTACATACAGTACAATAAATTTTTTTTTCAGAAAATTCATCGGAGAGGAAAAGGAGATACTGTGTTGAGTCAAATCAAATTGAAATTGAATCTCATCATCATCACTACGTTGTTAGTTTGTTTTTCTTTTTAAATAATAAATTAACGTGAAGAGTTTGCGTTGCTCCAAAAACGCAAAGTTTTTTCGCCAAAAACACAAACGTGCGGCGGCCGCCCGTGAAATTGGTGGTGGAGACGCGCAAATTCCGCGCCGCATCCGCGACTGACGCACTCGAGAAAGGAGAAAGGAGGAGAGTGGGTGGTGGACGAAACGTGGGTGGAGAGAGAGGATTTCGCACGCGACGGGACACACGAACAGACCCGCAAAATCGCGCCGCGTGCGAAGGGATGTCGGATGTGCGCCAGCGAAAGGAGAGTAAAAAGACGGAGCGCGGAGCGATGCGGTGGCGGAAGAAGAGAAGGTGGTGGAGTTGTTGGTCGCGCGGTCGATACACGGTGCAAATCGGGGTTACTGGACGATGCAGCAGCAGGGGTTGTTCGCGAGGGTCGTGGTGGCGATGCTCCGTTGTCGCTGCTGCCGCGTCTGTCTGTTGTTGTTACGCTGGTGATGGCTCGTCGCCCTCGCGCACCTGGGCTATTGGTTCTCCAAGGAGTAGTGGCGCGACCTCTTCCAGAAGCCCTTGAAGAAACCCTTCTTCTTGGGCGCGTCGCCGCTTTCCGCGCCTGAAACAGCAAACAGAGGTTTCCGAATTTTCAGGACCGAGTGAAAAATAAATCGGCGAGACGGGGGGGACGCAAAAATTGTTGATGCGCGCAAGAAGCCGCGAACGTAGCGCGAAAGTAAATATGTTGACTGATGCGTGAAGTAGAGAAAGTCGAAGTCGGAAAGCTGAGCTTGTATCTTCTCCCCCTTCGGCGTACCTGGATGAAATTTCCAACCGATTGCGTTCGCGCGCATCGAAGTAGCGAGAAAAAGTATATATGTAATGTACGAAGAAGTATATATATGTATATATATATATATATATATATATACACACGTTCTCGCTCGCGCGAACATGTACATTACGCTGCGGTTTCCGTTGCTGGAGAATCCGCCGAGAACACGTATCCTACACGACTGACAATCAATTTGCCGACGTGTTAAACCCTATTCGGGCGGGAAAACTAGGTAGAAGAGCTTCGTGACGGGGTGTCGTTTTTCATTTATTTATGAATTTTTTTGCGAGAGTTAAAAATATTTTACAAAAAAAAAAAAAACGTTCTCAAATCGGTTTCACTGTGACAACAATTATCACAAATATCTTCGCTGTCGTTTCCAGAGAGACATCAGTCGTGCAAAGGAAGTGACGAGTATCTCCTCAGCTCTATCGGAAATACGACGCGCGACGGAAAGCACACGGTGATAATTTCTTTTCTCGAAGAAACGCCCACGACTGTGCACCGAAAAAATTGTATTCTTGTTTTGAGGATATCCCACTTACTTTAAGTATATTTCATACTAAAATAGGCGCCAAGAAGAGTTTCTTATTTTAAGAGCAAAATCCTCTAAATAGTAACATTGATAAGAATATAAAAAGCCTCTATAGAAAAACATATATATCTCACTATCGAAAAAGACTATATTCTTAAATTAAGAATATATTCTTAAATAAAGAATATATTCTTAATTAAGAATATCATCTAAAATCTTTAAGAAGATTTTTTAAATATAAAATCTTCTACTTACGAGAATATAATTTTTTCGGTGTATATATATATATACACGTACACCGAAAAAATTGTATTCTTGTTTTGAAGAGAGAGATATCCCACTTACTTTAAGTATATTTTATACTAAAATAGGCGCCAAGAAGTGTTTCTTATTTTAAGAGGAAAATCCTCTAAATAGTAATATTGATAAGAATATATACTGATTAGAATATAAAAAGCCTCTATATAGAAAAACATATATATATCTCACTATCGAAAAAGACTATATTCTTAAATAAAGAATATATTCTTAAATAAAGAATACATTCTTAATTTCAGAAGAATATCATCTAAAATCTTTAAGAAGATTTTTTAAGTATAAAATCTTCTACTTACAAGAATATAATTTTTTCGGTGTATATATATATACACGTACACCGAAAAAATTGTATTCTTGTTTTGAGGATATCCCCTTACTTTAGGTATATTTTATACTAAAATAGGCGCCCTAAGAAGAGTTTCTTATTTTAAGAGGAAAATCCTCTAAATAGTAATATTGATAAGAATATATACTGATTAGAATATAAAAAGCCTCTATAGAAAAACATATATATCTCACCATCGAAAAAGACTATATTCTTCAATTAAAAATATATTTTTAATTTCAGAAGAATATCATCTAAAATCTTGAAGAAGATTTTTTAAGTCTAAAATCTTCTACTTACGAGAATATAATTTTTTCGGTGTGGGTATTTTACAGGCGACGTACATGGCAATTGCGTCTCGTGTCGAAAACGTGTTTTTTAATCGGACGCGGACGTGCGTTTAAGCAGTCAAGACACCGATTCTCCGTTCCAGCCGCGGCTAAAACAATGGCCGGTTTCTCCTTTCCGGTCAGCGTCGTGTCCAGGGATGGGAGAGAACAACAACCGTCGTGATTAATACGACGCCTGTTGCCGGCGTCGCGACGCTGTTCTTTTTCTTTCCTCCCGCCGCTCGCGATATCGCGCAAACTCTAACCGAGTTGCTTTTTTTTTTAATCGCGCGCTGCCCTCGACGTTTCGAAATCGCGTCTTTTATTTCCTCTCCTCTCCCCTCCTTCACCCCCGTGTTCGATCGTTCGTTTCTTCGAACATCTGTTTTAAATGTTTTACGTTAAATTATCCGTTACCTTGCGCGCGCGATTCTCCGTCGTCGATTATCCGTTTGAAGAAAGAATTCAAATCGGTTGAAAGAGGCCGCGCGCGGATTTTACAGTTACGTACACACGTCTCTCGCAGTTAGACGAGACATTGAGCGATCGCGCGCATAATCCGATTGGTATCTCTCAAGAACATCGCGCGCGCGTCCTCGATCGACCGTGACTTTGAACAACGATAGCGTGTCAAGGCGACATAATCGCGACTCGTTGCTTAAAAAAACAAAAAAAAAAAAAAAACACGTCTATATTTTATCTCGATGACGCGCTCGAATAACATACCGAACCCGAGACGAGACGGAGGTTTTCGTCGCTTCGTTCGAGAAAAAAACGCACGCGCGAGCAGCGAAACGTCGCGGACGCGTCCGAAAATTCGGAATTGCTCTTTTTTCCGATCGTTCCGAAAGGTAGAGACTGTGTAATTTGAAGACTCGAGACCGTAAGACACAGACCTCGAGAAGCCGAGACAATGAGAGAACAACGTGTGCGTGCGTAACGTATTGGCGCGGCCAATGAACGCCGCGGAATGGCAGGAAGGCAGGAAGGAAGGAAGGAAGGAAGATGGCCCTACCGCGGAGGAGAGCCGTGCGTGCGGATCAATACCGATAGAGCCGTACCCTATAGGACGCGGAGAGACGCGGACTCTCCTCTCCTGGGTGTGTCCGCGATCTCTCGCGCGCGCATTATCCCGGACACCCGTGTTTTCTGTCCGTGTTTCCCCGCGCGTACACGCGCGTGTGCGTGCGCGCGCGTGCCGATCTTCTTCCCGCGGCTTTTCCGAGCCCTTTTTCCGAGTCCGGCCGATTCCTTTCCTTCGGAAAGGACATCGAACTCCGGGGTTCGTTAAACCCTATGACGTGAAACTCTCCTCCCTCTCTTTCTCTCCCTCCCTCTCTCCCTCGAATCAGCTTCTCGCGTGGCTGTCAGCTGATGGAGCAGCGAACACGCTTCGCCGAGTGGCTCTCTTCAGCGGAGCTTCGTTTCACACAACGAGCAAAGACGCGTGTGATGATGTCGCGAGAAAGAGAGGAAGGGGACAATTGAAAAAAAATTATTCCCATACCGCGCGAGTTAACGAACCGGAATTGTCCTCTCGCGGAGAGAAAGTCTCCGCATCTCTTTGATTTTCTCATTTTATTTTTTTTTTATTTTTTTTTTTTTGCACGTGGATCTTCTCGATTCAAAAGTTTCGTGAATACGGTCTCTAATTTGAGATCGCGGCGCTGTAACGAGCGTTCCGATCCTTCGCGTGGATGTAAATCGTAGGATGACTTGGCTATTATTGGACGCGCGGTCGGGCTATTAATAAATTTTCCAACTCGAAAACTTGTCTGGCGTCTTCACGTCCGAGCGTGACGGAAAAAAAAAAGATGAACTCCGCGAAGAAGATGGTCGATGGTTTTTCGGAAAACTCGAGGAGGTTTTTATAATCCATATGAGTAAGAAAACAAAAAAAAATATCCCGCGCTTGAGGAAGGAAACTTCGTGGAATCGAGGCAATCGAGATGCGAGTTATCGCCGGAGTTTCTTATCGACGATAAGATACACTTTTTGTTTTCGAGAGTATATATTATATATTATCTCCATCAGTAAACATATTAACTCTTTATCTCTTGTTGTTGAGAAAATAAGGAAACGCGCGTTCTTTGTTCGATGAAAACAATTCGAAACCGAAAGCGCGACAAGTTTTTAACGATGCGACAAACCGCGCGTCTAATTGAAGTTAATTATTAACCCATTTGCATCATAAGCGCATTTTACTTAGGCATTTATCCACCAAAGCGCATATTATTTATACCAGAAAAATACCAAAATTCTTTATTTTTATGCAATATTGATTTTATTTTTCATATTTTGTAACATTTTCATTTCAAAATTTAAATACAGTAAAAAAACATTTTGGTGATAAGAACGAATTTTTGACTTTTCTTTGTGATGCAAATGGGTTAAAAATTAACAAAATAATGGAGCAAAATAATTTTCAAAAAAACTTTTGAAGAACGAGATGAAGACCATGGCGCGGATTATTCGTCGAAATAAGAGAGAAACTTCTCGAGAGAGAGGAGAAACGTCAGAAACAATTCGCTGATTTTTCAACCGGAAAGAAAAAATGGTCCGACAGCTCCAGGATTTTCCCGCGGTTCTTTTCCACATATTTTCTCTCTCTCTCTCTCTCTCTCTTGGGAACGCCGGTGCATGTAACTTAATGCACATTAAAAAGCAGGTCTTCCTACTCGCATTTCCGAAAATAACCGGCGAATATTAATAGACGCGTTAGAGGAGAGGAGACGCGGAGTAACAAGCAGAGAGAGGGCCGCGGATATATTTTGGAACACACACACCATGATTTCCCCTCTTCTTCCACTCGCGTTCTGTAATTCGTCCGCGTTTGCACACTAAATTCGGTTGCGGACGAGATGTGAGGACGGTATATGCAAACGCGCGATCGAAATGAGGACAATTTCTGTATTTTCCAGATTAAAATTTAAAAATAAATTTCGTTTCGCGACGAGAGACACTCATCAGCAGCGCGCGTCACCTTGAGAGAGTCTCAAAAGGAACGCGAAGGAAAACACGGAGAGAGAGAAAGAGAGGAGGTCGATTTCCGAGATGTCACGGCGAGCTGTTTTCTTGTATCGTTAGAATGATCGCGCGCGGTGTCAAGTTCGCGGCTCCTCTCGGACGAGGAGACGCGTGTCTCTTCGTTCGAGCAAATGGATCATCGCGCGCGAGCGTGACGGGATTTCATTTTCAGGAGGGACACGCCTAGGCTATTTTCGAGTCCGGGGGGAGGATCTCTCTCCATCCCGAGAAAGAGAACCCGGAGAGGAGAACAGAAGGAGCAGCCGAAATATTGTAGGAGCCCGCGCCGAGGATACGCGACCAGAAATAAATCGGACGGTGAACTTATTTTCTCGCAACGGGCTGTCGCCGCGGATTTTTCAACTTCTCTCTCCTCGCTAAGAGTTTCTCGCTGAGAGATTTCTCTTCGAAGAGAGACTCTAAGACCGTAAAAAGTAACGAGCGGTAGAAAAACAAAAAAAAAAAATGTAAGAACAGATCGAAAGTCTACGGTGTGAAAAATGAGCAACGCTTTTTTACTCACCGGCGTAAGGACCGGAAGGCGAGTTGTTGTCCTTGTTCTTCCCGTCCTTGCTCCCGCTTCCTGCAACAGAAAGAAAGACGGTGCGAAATTACGACGGGAACGCGGGCGTTAAAATTGCGTGTGCGCAGGATCGATATTTACATTTACATGTCCGGGACGTTGGTTTGAACAAATTTTTCAGGCATAGCTACATGTAGGTGTGTATGTGTGTATTTATTTTTATAAAAGTGGAATTTTACCAAATTCCATCGGTCGAATGTACATCAAAACGTGTGTGTGTGTGTGTACGAAGGAGAAAAATCTAACAAACAAGATAAATGCGGAAACGCTAAAAGATGCATTCGAGCGGAAGGGGGTTGAAAAACCATGCGCAAGACTTCTTTCGAAACAATCGATAGCGCTGTGTAAGGGAAAATAAAATCACGACGCGCGTGTCTCGCGGAGTAATCGAATTAATAAAAAAATTCAACGGGGGCGGCGCATTCGAAATATTTTTTTTTACAAATTGTTTGGCGAAACTTTAGCCCGCGTTCGAGAACCACCCTCACAAGAAACGAAGCTCTCCAGAAAATCTTTGACGTTGATTTCCGTCGCGATCCGATAAGTACGGCTTCGTTGCGAAACGAAAGAGAGAGAGAGAGAGAAATCTCGTTCTTCGTCTCATAAACGTCTTACAGAGAGCGGACGTATTGACAAAGCGTCAGCGGATATATATATGTAGGAGAGAGCGATTAAGGAATCGGGATCAAACGAGCTAAGCTCGTTTTCTGCCGGTTTGATAAATCGCCGGAGGATTCGGTCCGTCGTAACTCGGTCAGTCGGAAATGAATTTCGCGCGAGCGCAGAAAGAAGCGCTTCCGTGTGTCATTCTTCGTTTCGAGAAACGAGAATGACACACGTCCGGCAGCGCGAATTCCTTTCGAATAATCGCTTCCCGAATCCGCGAGAAACTTTTTTTTTTTTAAATAATATTCCTCGGCAAAAAATAAATCGCCTTGTTTTTCTCTGTTATTACTTTTAACCGCTCTCGCTACGATAATTCCACGCTAATCGTAATAATCGCGGGATGTTAATACGTTTACGCTTTCTCGCGCCTTTCTGCAAAAAAAAAAAAGAAAAAACTTGCACTTTTCGCTTTCTCGTCCCATTGATTTTATTTACGCGTAAAACATTTCGCACTGTTCGAGGAGCGAGTTCTGCTCTTTACACGCTCCTTCCTCTTCGCATTGGACCAAAAGACTAAAAGCAGAAATATATCACAGATATAGAAGCGATGACGATTACATCCCCCCAAGATGGAAACGGAGAAGACGGATGAGAGAGAGAGGAGAGTCGGAAAAAGAGAAACGCAATCCATACCTGGGAAATAAGGACACATCGGGTTGGTGTGTGTGTGTGTGTGTGCGAGGTGCTGGTTGCGGAGAGAGGAAACTGGCCGTTCTCTGCACCAGCTGAGCTGCATATGTGCACCTACATCCTTAAAAAGAGAGTCCTAACCTACACGAAAGTTGTAACCTTTTCAGGTTTTACGATCCGACCTGTCCCGACCACGTCTCGTATTTAATGTCGAGGAGTCCCGAGAGTTTGCCAATCCGATGCTCTTTCGCGAATACACATCCACGTAGAGACGTTCAGATCGAGAAGATATACACGGCTGAGCTAATTTCCACGAAATATAAAAACGGTATTTTTTTCTAAAAAAAAATATTATTTGATACCGAATAGAAAAAATATCTAAGAAATAATTACGGTCATCCGAGCCGATCGCAGGATGTTGTGCGGAAAACTACGTGTATATATATATATATATATAT